GATACAATGAGGGCTAGCTTTCACTGCCTGTCTCTTATACATTGATGTTTTGTAGCATTAGTAAACTACAATATTTAACACTCAGTTTCTCATAAAATTTTAAATACTGAAGATGCAGCAGGAAGTCAGATGTGTACAACGTTGGTACCGTTAATATTTTGTAATAGTAAGCGCCACTCTCAAAACAAGCAGATTTCTTGAAAGTGTTAAAAAAAATTGTGATAAAAGGTGGGGGGAGGGGGGTGGTCTCGCAGGCTCCCCCTCCAAATCCGCCCCTGAAACATATCCAAGAAACGGGGCTATATTGAGGATTATACTGTAGATTATTTTAGTTACTGTATATACTGAACCCAGCCACTAGAGTACAGAGGCCTAGAATGAAGGTGTCCTTTCTGTACATGTTATTTATTCGTGAGAACAGGGTTGGCATGCAGGAGCGACCCAAAAGCAGTCATGGAGAAGCACTGTAGAAAATTAAAAAACGCCTACCTGCAATAATCTTTGATGACAACTGGAGCAATCTGTATACCTTTAGACATTCTGGCATTTTTTCCTTAATATGAACTAATTAATAGTTACCTACTTAACTTGACTGCTAGAATGGTTGTTTATTTTAATCATCTTTGGATAGAGTGAGGCATACTACCGTATCGTACTACTGACCAGGACAATGTATACAGACAATGGATTTAGATATTTCTTCTTTTAATCATTAGGTTTTGTGAGTTTAAACAGTTACAAATCTGTGCTATTGAATCGGGATTAGAATTTAATCATTAATTTTACCCGCCAAGAGTCAATCCTGATTATGAAATATTCAGGGTCGTACCCTCCAACTCTGGTGGTAATGCAGCTCTGTTGGAAATGGTGTATTCGTTTGGGTAAGTGTAAGGGTACATTTAAGATTATTGTAGGCCTACATTCATGATACATTTTAATTTTTATGTGGTTCCATGTACATTGAAATGTAAAAATGTATGTATATGCGCACTGGGTCACGTGTTATTTCAATTAGATTATAAAGAATGAACGTCAATGATGTTGGTACTTACTCTGAGTTAGACTCTGGGAACGGAATATCTCCTATTGTAGTCAGAGTCAGCGTCGACCAGTACATTGACTGCATATATTTCCGTAGAGTCGACGAATAACTTCCGATAGGCTCTGGGTATACCCAGTCCCCTTTCCCAAACCCAACTGCTTCACTAAATAGGTAGTAAGCTGCCGCCGCCCAGTGTATCAGGAGGAGGATTAGATGCGTCAGGTCGCCGACACGAAGAAAGTTAGGATGCGGCGTTCTTGTCTCTAGCATATAGTACCACATTCTAGCCCGATATACTTTTAAGAACCGCGGAAAACGAACCATAGAATGATACCGCCGCTCTGATGGAATGAGGTACAGGAGGTCTAAAGGAGTTAGCGATACTATGTCCACCGGGAATCTCCAAGAATGTATGTAATATTGCCTGAGCTTTGCTTCGTTTCTTTGCAATAAACCTTGTTCGAGGTAACCAGTTCTTAATTGCACAAATATATCTAAAATATACACTATATCACACAAATAATCAAATGTAAACCATATTGCCAAAGAGTCTTCTTGTATCTCAGGCCAAGCCTCTCTGGCTATCAGCAGCCAGAGATTATACAGTACTGCCATGGTGACAATAAAAAGCCAGTAGAATGAGAAGGTACCGTCAGGATGAGCGATGAAGTTACATCCGTACTCATCCTCTTCGTCTGTTTCATAATCGCACTTACTATCATTCAAGCCACCTTCTTCCTCTGCGCCTTCCCGCTGCCTGGTTGTGAATTTCTCCAAGAAAGAATCCACTCTTTGGACAGAGACTTTAGTTCTTTTCCGCTTAACAGACGGCCGAGTTGCTCTCATTACATTTCGTAATGTCGACCATCGCTTTCCTCCTGGTGTCTGTCGTGAGACACCAGAGACGAGGCTTTCTTCGTCATGTGCTTCATACGTACTAGAGAAGGTAGTTGAAGACATTCTGGCTGATGATGACATAGTCTCTCCAGCATCAGTCTCGTTGACTGGATGCACTTTGCCGTTCAAAGTTCTCAACAAAGTAGGTTTTGCAGGACTATCATGTTTAAAAACACCATTTTTCTCGATCTGCTGGGGCTTGTGATCAGTCGGAAGCTCGGTCAGACTTCGCACTGTCACCGCCGAATTGTTGTTCGAATTTGAAACAATTGGTGTCAATAAGCTCGTCATCGTACCATAATATCCTCTTTAAAAGTCATCTAAAATATTGCAGCCAAGACTTTTGAGGCATGTACTTACATTTATGTGCTTTCGCTTACAGAGCCATCGTCAATTTTTGCAACAGGTAAACATTAATAAAGCTACGAGCAATACATAATGGTATCAGCCGGATACAATGAGGGCTACCTTTCACTGCAAATCCATTTATAGGCCCTATCATCAAATACAATAAAAACGTCAAAGATTGATTTGTTCTACGGTCGCCGTCGTACGGTTATGGATTAAAATGACAATAACCAGTTATTAACCGGTCTTGTTTTGCAAAACAAAGATTTTTTATCCATTCTCAACAGTTGGTATTGCCAACTTTAGAAGTTGAATAAGGCTTACTTCCTACTCTATTCGCCTTTCGTACCAAATCTGTTTACCCTGCCGTTTTTGAAGTCGTGTGTGCTTAGCAACACTTAACAATACTATGATAATACAAAGGTCGGAACAAAGAATTCTAGTACAAACATCATAGCTGGTAGCCCAAAACGCAACCCGATCAGCGAAAGTAAATACAGTTTAATAACTATCTGTGAGGTAATGTACATTTCTCTTCGTGCACGGAAAACGCCTCAATTAGCAACATCAGTTCATCGATCGTCTAATTGGCAGAAATGTGTTGGAGGTATCGTTTCTGCAATCATTTTAAACATATCAACGCAGAACTGACACAAACGACAGGATTGTGTTTAAACAGAAGAATACAAATCAGCACCACACATTTAATATCGCTTATCTGTTTATTTGACAAAGGAAGTATCTAGAGACCTCCTACATTTAAAGTTACATTTCCTTTATTTTCTATTCGTACTCAACACAATCTAGGTACGTACATTATGTAACGCGTTTGATTTATTCAGGGGCGGATCCAGTAGAGGGGCACGGGGGCACGTTCCCCCTGTTTTGCCTCTAAACTTTAAAATTTCCAGGCATATATTAAAATTAGCGCTCTCACTTATCTATTCTGAACATGTTGTGGCCCCCCCCCCGCCCCGTTTGAAAAATTCTGGATCCGCCCCTGGTTGTAGGTACATACACACGACCCAATTCAAAAATCATGTAGGTCTATGGTATTTTAATTGGATTCCTCATAAACGTTATTTGTACTTAGATTTTAAAATTCATACATTTATCTTCACACGATTATTCTCACATGCTGACGCATTCATCGCCCACGCGCGTTGACCCCGGACAGACGTGCGTGTTTATTAATGGCCCTTTCATATGTTTTAATCAAACTTAACAACTGACCAATAAGAAAGTGTTACCTAATAGCCAGAAATACACGCTTGTCCCACCAACCATTAATGCATTCCTTCCTGTTTATGTCTAACATTGTTTCCACAATAGCAAAAGTATCCTATGGCGGGTTTTTCGGGAAGTCTAATTATACTGAATTTTCATCTTGGCTATTCAAAATAGTGGATTGTATTTCGTCAGGTAGGGCTTATAGATACAATAACGTAAAGCCTCGAAAAGGAGCCCATCTAGAAAAGAAGACCCCCCTCTACAGTTTCCAAAAGTACTGTAATCTGGAAAAGAAGCCCTTCTCGAAAAGTACGGTAGCCCATGGGTTTCTAATCAACATAATAAGGAAAAATTTCGAGACGTCTTATTTGATGATTATGATAGCGTGTCATCAGTATCACTAGTATTTTATTGTACTATCATGTTGAAAGTTAGAATAAAAAAAAACAAAAAAAAAAACAACGTTGAATTCCCATTGTTGAAAAATGTCGTATAGTAGGAATTCCAAAATTTACAGCATTCATTTTGAAAAGAAGCCTCCCTATTTAGTTTGCAAACGTAATCTCGAAAAGAGGCCCATCTCGAAAAAAGAGGTCCATCTTGAAAAGAAGGCCATCCAAAGGTAGGCCTACTAAAAGAAATAAGCTCATGGCTTTCTATTATGAGGTTTTACGGTATAATGCGGGCTCGATATTAAATGGGACGTCAGCTCGTGAGAGAATCAACTGAAAATATTCTTGTGTTCATATCCTATATGAATGTAGTTTATTACAGTATTATCTTGTAGGCGTTCAGATAGGATTTTTTTTTCCTTTGATGCGGTATGGCCTACGGCAAGCCTTCTCACATGACTGACCTGTCTAAAATGAATGCAAACTTAAATTTGGATTAATCTTCCTCCATTAAAGCAGACTATAAGAGGGTGCTATGGTGGACCTTTTTACTTTATTAATCTCAAAACAAATTAGTTGGTTAATACTGTACATGCTGGTAAAGAGTAGGCCTATAGCTCACTTAATGCTTAAAAGTACCGTATACTGTTTGTTCCCTTGTAATCTCAACAATGAGGGCGCTGTTGAAAACGAGGGCACTGTGATATAATATTTTGTACATTTTTTAAAGATATTTATTTACTGTGTGCCAAAAATATCGGAAAAATCTCAAAAGTTTGAGGGGAATTTTTTCCTCATTCAAATATTTATTTTTTTAAATTTATTTTTAAATATCACAGACAGTGATCTTTAACATCTTTAATGTTGCTTACAGCCCTTACCCCATCGAACTCTCGGAATTGTTTTTTTGTCGAAGACATTTATAATAGAATTGCATTCACAAATCGGATACACAAATGACATGAGGGGTTGAGATGTGGGGCTTTCGATCTGTCTTAGCGGAAGCAAAAATACCGGTAAGTAAACCTTTTGCTGTAACACTTTACAATGTTTATAATGATGATAGGAGGCTTATATAGGATAGGCTATATAGGCTAATGTATTCTATGCTTACATACATTTCATTACGTAAAACTTCAAAACCGACCATGCATTTCATCCTAACAGAGAAACGAAATGCGGCGTTCAAAACCAATTATCTTCAACTTTCCGCCAACAGAATATATATCGCCGCTCTTCGTTTTATATCTGCATCATGCGCTTTTTTCGTCGCTATGTAAATGAAAAGTGATCTATAGATAATTTCATGCACTGATAAACGCCTGCCAAAGCCATTCTACGTAGCGATAGATAAAATCTTAGATACATGAAAACTAACATTCAACATACAATACGTATTTCGTTATGTTACAATCAATAAAATTATATCAAATACCTCCCTAAAATAATAAAATGTATTAAAATGTACAGAATAAATACATCGCACATTGTGTTCACCACTCGATGTGAATTCCAAAGTAATTCATTTCTAAGTATTTGCCACAACATTAGTTATTTTAATACTATAAGTTGAATCCTTTTTCCCGCCAATAGCGGAATACAATCATTATTTCTAGGATATTACTTATGGTGCTTAGTCAAAACTTGATAATTTAGGCCTTGAATTTGAGGATGCGTATTCTACGCCATGGTTTACACATGGTTAGCAGAAGCGCCTGCGCAGGTGTCATGAGATCTCGGCCGGCGGTGGGATGAATTCATTATGATTTAATTTCAGTTGAAGAGTCCAAGGGCCTAACATTCTAGTGACATCAGGTCATAAAAAATCCGGGCCGATCCATTTCCCCCTCTCAGAAGATGTGAAGCGCCGCGCTTTTATAATTGGACGTGGATAAATATAGCATTATTATCTCCCACAGCCCACCCATTTAACTGATAACAAGTAGACCTAAGTGGCACCAAATGAATATACTTCCAGTCTCCTTTCAAAAGTTTCTGTTTTGTTGTCAGTGGTCCCATACAAACGGCATTGTCGATTGGAAAACCGACCACCGAGACTCTTAAATGTAGTTCTGACGCTCCTAACTCTTGCAGGTACCATGTTTCATCCAGTATAGGTAGCGGATACTGTGTGGTCAAATTTATAGATTTCATTCATTGTCAATTGGAAAACCGACCGCCGGGATTCTTAAAGGTAGTTCCGACGCTCCTAACTAGCCTTGCAGATACCCTATGTTCCTTCCAGTATAGGTAACGGGTACTGTGCGTTCAAATTTATAGCTTTCATACTTTTAACGTCTGGATAATCATGATAGTATTGCGATTCCCATAGCAACGGCGATGACAACAATATAATTGCCGAACCAATGAACACTGCCAGCGTGTATATTATCATTAGAATTCGATCGATTACCATGGAAACAAATTGCCAATCAGCTTTGACCTGTTAAAAAGAATATAATAGCCATGTAATGTGATTCATTAATTGTTTTTATTAATTAATTTCGAATGACATTATTGTAATAATGGTCGCCACACACTATTCTTTTTGTCCGGCAACTTTGTCTTTTACAGTTTTTTGGTAAAGAAAAGCGAACGACAGACCATGTTTTGTAAGATACACACCATAAATACAGACATGGTTTGTAAAGACAAACCGTGCTTTAAAGCCAGGTTTCGGAGGCAAATTGTGTTGATCTGATGTACAACTGATTTTGCAAAGACACACAAAGGATGTTTGACGAAAAATGAGATACAGATTTTTGAATATTTACAATTATGATTTGTCAATGAAAACCATATAAAAGACACCGTGGTTTGTAAAAGACAGAGTTGCAGGACAAAAAAAAAAGGATATAAAAGAATAGTGTGTAGAACTATTGTCCGTAAGACAAGAAAGTTTGTAAAAGACCAGCCATGTTTTGTCTTTTAATAGAAAGTCAAACTTTGTAAAAGACAAACCGATGGTTTGTAAAAGAAATACGTTAAAAGACGAACTATAGTTAGTCTCTTATAGAAAGACAACCATGATGATGATGATGAAGGCACAGAAACTTAGCCACTGCTTTTTAACTTTCTAAGTTTATGATCGTTACGGTAGTCTATCGTGTCAGGCCTACTGATGAAGTAGGCCTAGAACTGAAACCAATCAGATAAATAATTACCTTAGTATCGTCATCTTCTTCTTTAAAGTGGTTAACAATAAATTCAATATTGTCGATTGCTGATTTGGAAGGATCATTACTAGAGGGCAGTGTATCACCCAAATGATAATCCCGACCAGTTATATCCTCCTCGTCATTAATCGTTCCCATGTCTCCCATTTCGTACTGCCCTCGTGGGGTTTCGGATTTGCAACACAGAGCATTGTACCCCGATCTCAAGATACCGAAGAGGTACTTTTGATCAGATCGAGTTGATTCTCTCTTCTCTAGCGGCGGCTTGGTGTCGAGTAAACAGTCCGTACTGGAGGACAAATTCTCGTGTCTTTTAATCTTCTGCTCCTCATCCTCAGAGCGTTTGATGTGAAGAATTCGTGGGAAGAAATCAAGGAAGACTGTTCTGACCCAGGCAGGCATTGTATGCGTTGAACTTGCACGATGGAAGACATTAATTATTATCACTGTGATGAACGTTGAAAATCCGACCATTGCCATAGTAAACAATAAATATTTTACAATCAGAGGAACATTTTCGGCGGTTGACGGTATTAGTTCGGCTATCAGCAGCAAGAATACAATGACGGCTAGAAGAATCGACGTACACAACGTCACTTTTTCGCCGCTGTTTGGCGGGACGTAGAAAATAAAAATAGTGAGGGTAGTAATCAGTAAGCAAGGCATTACCATTGTTACGATATAAAATAACGGTTTTCGATGCAAGACGAAACTGAAAGTTAAATCGACGTAGATCTCTTCGCAGCAATCGTACTTCATGACGTGTTTTTTGATCGGTGTTTCAACGATGTCCCATTCTGCATTCGGCCAGTACTGGCCCTGATCAATTTGATTGTGAAGCGCCTCCAGATCGATTAAACTATAGTCGTGGGTCCACGATCCGAACTTCAACTTACACGTCTGTTCGTCGAACGGGAAGTACTTTACCACAATGTCGCAGGCACTCTTGAAGACGGCTGGCGGGGCCCAGGACACCGTACCGTTGTAAAACACATTCGCCTTCGTGAGCTGAATGACGTCATAAGGGCCGTTCGCACTACGGATGAAAATAAAAGTAATGTTTTGAATATATTGTTGCAACTAAATGAAATGAAATTTGAAGAAATGGAATACCAGTGAGCAACAACAGCATGCCTAATGAGTTTACATTAGATACCATATGACGGACTAAAATTTGGGTTCTCTTAAATATTTAAGAAAGTGACCCTTTATCTTAAAATATATTAAATAATTTGATGCTGTATAAACGTTTAAGTTGCATTGCCAACCAGGCTTAGGAAGTGGAGATATTTCTAGTCGTGAGGAAAGATTCTTTGCTGACATAGGACTTGTACCCATGATTCTGGGAAGGAAGGTACTTCATAATAAACACCAAGCTACTTCTTGAACATGGGGGAGGGGTGGGGGAAGTGGTTGATATCGCTTTATAGAACGATTGATTGATTAATCTTTCTCCAAGAAATCAAAGTATGTGTACTTTCTTCCATCGACCGAGGTGATAATAACATGACGCATTGGCCTGACTTGGAACTCAAATGCATCGACATATCCTGGTTTCCATAAAATCACTACTGTTGCTACAGTGTTTTACTACAATCGTTTCACTGCCGCTGCGTAGCTGTCTACGACACAATCGGGAAGGCTCCTGAATTCGACAGACCAATCAGCGTGGTTAGAAGCTGTCAGCAATAGTGTGTAGCGATTTCATGGAATGAAAACTTTACTCACTTATTGTAAAGCACCAGGTCCGGCTTCCAAAGGTCACTGACCGGGACATGGATGACAGTCAAGTTGCCGTAAGTGAGTGGATCCCACTTAAGCCGATAGTCTTGCCATGTCTGAAATAACATTACAAAATGAAAGAAGTACAACTTTTGTTGATTTATATACAGACGTGGTGATGTTGACAAATGCGTTTTAAATTGCCAATGTGATATTGGTGGTGATGGTAGTAAACCACATCCAATTTGACTGGAATAAAGCAGGTTAGCTGCTGTTTGATTTTCATTCAAAATTCGTCTTGGGTGTAACGGTGGTTTGATGATTTATATTGATGGTGACGTCAGATATTGTGGATGACGATGACGGTGATAACAGCGATTTCTACAACATGGTGATGATAATGATGGTGGTGATGATATTGATTCATGATCATGTGCCCTGATTGTGAAAGTGAGATTTGATTAAACTAAAGCCATGTTTTTATCTTCTTTTTTGTGCCTCTTTCATAATGCACGTTGTAGAAACTTTGAATATTACGCCCTCTATCGTTAAGTTTTTACCTGTTTTACCCATAAGCTCGTTGTCATTACTTGATTTCGTTCGTCCTGAGAAAGAAAATAAGATTTGTGAGAATAACTTCCTATACGTTAAAAACAAATGCTCTAGAGTGACTCCTAAATCAACCCTTTAATAAGTTTGAATGTATTCGTCGTAATGGTTTAGGCGTCAGTGTTTGTTGGTAACTTGAACGGCAGTATTTTAAAAAATCGCACTGTAAGCTACAGTTATACATATTATTTATAGCTTAAAAATCGTTAAAAATTCTCATTATCCTCGCCTCCACCGTCACCGTCATTGTCGTCACCGTCACCACCACCGTTGTCATAGCCTAAAAACACTTCGCATGTTAAGATATTAGGTCACGACATATCATCGCGTAGGCAACACTGCGCGCACCAGTATTTTGTCTTCGTGTCTAGTGTAAAATTAGCTTTAGGCGTTTGTTGGGTAACGGATTTCTTTTTCTAGATCTGAATGGAGTCCTCCCTAAGACCCGGTGTTTCATTTTGAAGCAGAGTGTGTTATTGCGCATGCCCTTCGGCATTTTGGTTTGGTCTTTTACTTATTATCTCTGCCAGAGGGTTTATGTATTCAATCGCTGTCTGTCTGTTAGCAAGATTAGGCAAAAACTAAGGAATGGATCATCATACAATTTAATGGAATGGTACATATAATAATAACTTATTTATTCATTAAAATTATCATTTAACAGTGGGAAACCCGTTATACTTACAGAATGGAACTGAAACTACTTGAAACTATTGGGAAGTTTAAAGGACAAGGTCACGGTCACGGAAATTAACCCTTCAGCATAATAAAAATAATAGAATCACCCATCGTACATGGCGGCCTTATTCAATACTGAATACTGAATACTGAAATAATTTATTGTTAATGCATTTGAAAACTGGCAAAAATTTAAAATAAGAGCACAGAATATTAAAATATGAAATTATTATAACCAATTACTGTAAAGGTTTAAAAATATTAATGTGTACAAGAAAAATCAAATTTGGATACAAAATACATATAAAAAGAGCAATAAATTAAACTGAACAAACATTTAAAATCGCAACAGTATTAGAAAATAAATAAATACTATTATTATTATTATTATTATCACCATTACAGTATAATTATTATTATTTTATTGTATTAAAAGATATAAAAATTTAATATATTAATGTGTACAAAAGAAATAAAATTGATATTCAGACACAGGGCGATGGTGCGACTGCTCTAATTGAAAATATGTTCATTGGTTACTTTAGTTCATTTTGAATATTTATTTTTTATTCTTGGTGGACCAAGCTTCATTGCTTCGCGGGAGAGGGATATTTTTTTCCGCGCAGAGAGGCCCTTTCAGTCTAATACATCAAGAGTGTGTAGGCCTAACAGTAGACTATGTGATTATTCAAGGCGAGAATTCAATACTGTAATCAAACGATATACGATTGTAAATCTAGTCGCTCCTTGTCTTAATTAAAGCGGTAAAGATACAATACATTTGGTACAGGATAATTCACAACCAAACATGGACATTGTACGCATACCAACATCATGCAGATATTTGAAGGCAAACATAAAGTGCATGGCATTATACCTCCATGACATAATAACTACAGTATTTGACTATGGGCATATAGTTAAGAGTTGTCTGTCAACGGGGTCCGTGATCGCAGGGTACTTAATTCACTCAAAAGCCTTTGGCAAAACAAAATGTCAATGCATTCCTGAGTACTGTTGAGCAACCTCACGCGTGTATGGTAACGAAGCAGCGCGTGCCGTGCCGGATGCCCGAGGTATCAGCGAAGAGGCGCGTGCGATGAGGTTGTAAATCATGTTAAAGAGGCGTGTGCAATTGAAGGTAATAATAGAGCCGCAGGACAACCTCTCTGAATGAATGACGAGACAGCCGGTGGAAGTAAAATCATGGTAAAATAAAGGATATCATCTAATACAATTGATTGATGAGTTTGATGTAATGGATTATAATCGCATTTAATACTATTGTCATCATAAACAATATTGTCTGTGTGACTATTGCTGTTTGACGTTAAATCACCGTTGCTCCCAGCATAGACAGGGTCGAATCCTTCAGGATTGATTCTAATGAATAGACAATAATTATCAAATAATTGTAAACGTTAATGTTACAAAATAAATTACCTAGTCTATTGTGTAACATTAGCCTTGTGTAATTATTATTACTTGTGCTAATTAAACATGCAATGCACATTGCCGATGTAGGTTAAATATTGCAGTTCAAGATATACAGAGCATGCAATAACGGTCTTCGGGGCCTATATTTATTACGCCATCGTGTCGGGATTCAATATTTCGACACTAATTATGTCGTCATCACGAAATATACGCGCCTCAGGATATTGGTTAAGTAACAATTATTGTTGTGTCTTCTTAATAATGTGACATTATTATTATTAATAATAATAATAATAATAATAATAATAATAATAATAATAATAATAATAATAATAATAATAATAATAATAATAATAATAATAATAATTAATAATAATAATTAATAATAATAATAATTATTATTATAATAATTATAATGATATTTACGGAAGTAACAGCAAAAATAGTCAAACAATAATGTAGCCTATTTTAAATAGGGACTTACAGACATTATTACGAAACCAATTACTCAGCTATATAACAATACGTATATCATTACTCTCTATAGATGAAATAGCAATAACAACACGATACAGTCGTAAATCATCTATTTTTTTAAAAGTTTTATATCGTAATATTCCTAGGACTCTCCTATGAAATAGTATTCTGCTTTTATTCCCGCTTCATAAGAATATTAAAGCGTAAGACACACCACCACGGTAGAATACACTCGAATAATTTATACACGCGTGTTTATGTTATACATAGATACGCTAGTATAATGGGCTTAAAATACGCTCTCTCGATTGTAACTTATAAGACAATAATATACTTTAACTGTACTCGAAAGATTATCCGTGTTAAAGTATATCAATGCGCCGTGAAAGTAGGCCTATAAATGCACTCGAATGATAAACTGCTTTCATTTTAAAGGTAATTTATACACCATGGAGGCCCGGTATAGTAAACAGATATATTTTTGAAGTATAATAAAAAAAAAAATTCCTCGATATGAATGCTTATGAATACACCATGGATATAGGCCTATGAAATAACTCGAAGAATACTTTTAATAAAATTAAGTTGTATCATGTAGCCTTATTATCGACAGACTGACGTAGGCCTACCTACATCATAGTGGCATAAACTCAGGAACCCTCGCCAAAATTATTCTCATTCAGAGCTATAATTTCCAATTCGTTATTTGTACGATGCACGAGGTAACAATTTCAGCAGCAACATTGTGCAATTAGTTGGAGCGCATATATTTAAGAACGCATAGGCCTACTTTCGACTGGGCCCTGGAAGGCAATTTATTCTCTCAATTTCACCTGGGGGTAAGAATTTTGCGGTTGATGTGTTCTATTGCATTCAATTAGCACAATCGAACCGTTGTAGTTATGTTTTACATCAGACGAACTCCACACCAATTAGCCGATGGATGGTATTGATTGGAACAGTTAAATTAATTACGTAATTAACTAATTAATTAATCAACTCAGGATAATAAAAAGTGATCATTATAAAGACCGGAATGAATCATTGTTTATTGTTGAATGAATTGTAGAATGAGATTACAGTCTCTGCCACAATGTTTTCGACCAGCTGTTCAGATAAATAATTCCGTAGGCCTAGATCTAATCATGGAGGCAGTCTATATACTGTACTTTCTTAATCAGGCCAATTTTAGTTGACCATCGCAGTTATGACAAATCACATAGCTCCTTAGCATTCGTGAGGAATTCTTTAGCAACTGATATGATATATATTCAATTTCGTTTCTATGAATTGACAGTCTGCGTATAAGACTTGGGTTCACACTAAAACGATTTAGACACGCGCGTCAACGCTATGAGTTGATCTAGTATGAACCAAACATAATGCTCACAACGTCATTGCGTGCGTTCCGAAATTACTAGCTATAAATGAAGCTACTCCCCACACCCCATTCAATCACATGATCGAGTTCTAAGGATTTTTACGTTTTAACAGGCATAGATAGAAGAATAAATGCGGGCCGACGCATGGAACTGCCACTTTAAGCATGAAATTGGACATAACGTCTTGTAGTTGTATCGAAAGACGTGACTATTATGCTGTGGAAATCGGGAGGCCGCAACAAATTAGCTGCGAATCGTGTAGTATGCAATAATGAGAAGCGTACTTAAAACTGTAGCCATATACATGTAAATCACCCTCCTAATGTACTCAGCTAGTCATGATGTTTAATCATTCTAAAGGGTTTAGGATTACGAAGGCCCTGCGCCTAAATTTTATGTAATACGCTCTATACGTTGTAGAAGTTCGCGCACAATGCAATGTCAGAAAATTCCATTTCACTGTCATACTTTATAGAGAGATATTCGTGACGGCTGGTTTACCTAATTTTTGTGAATTTATTATAAAGCATGTTCTAGGAATATGAACTGCCTCCGGTCAACGTGTTATTTGTTCACATGTGTTCTCAAAAATTATGCTTCATATATACAGGCGCTGAGTAGAAAATTTGTGATGTGCTACTTTTGTTATTTTTTACATTTTGTTATTTTGAGATTACCTGTTTTAATTTTTGTAACTTGAAGTCCAACTTGCAATATGTCTATAAATTATGCAGACCTACATATATGTCTATACTGTAGATTTTATCAGGCATGTATAGGCCTATAAGTATAATATTACTGTACATAATTATATAAATCATTGTACAATAGAGAAGAATATAATGAGGATTTAAACCCGGGACCTTTTGTGGGAGACTCCGGATTACAAGCAACTCATTTTTAACATTCGTTTTAACATACAAAATACAGGCCCACCTCGAATAGGCTTATGTATAAAAAAAGTTATGTAAAAACAAGAACTTTCTACAGATGCAAGGAAAATTAAAGAAAGTGATAATCGTGTGATAATTGTAAACTTTACATAATTTATTTATTATTTACAATCCGTCGTCTTATAATCGAACTATGGAGTAAATATTGATGTCAACAGTAATAAATAGGAATAATAACTAAAAATAAATCTACGTCAAACCGTACTCTATAATTAATAACGCTACAAATGCCCATATAATTTTGATAAATTTGAGTGTATACTCCACAATTTTTGTTTCTTAAAAAATCTGTGCATGTCGGACATATGCAGCGACGTCAGTATGTCTAAACCCGGTACGTTATTATCGAAGGCAATTATGGCGTGTCGATACGACGTTCGTGATCAATCATCTCGAGCAAGCTGTACGGCCTAGCAACTCGTAAACATAAGCTTTATGATTGAAGGAAAGGTATTTAGGGTGATTAGCAAAAGATACATAGCTATCCACATCCTCATAAGGTTTTTGCGGGCTGAAAGTTATTAGTTTTCACGGTATTACCCAGCCCCGCTTTATTACTCTTGTTTACTGTAATATTATCAGTGTTTCTTTTTTGCCACTTCAATAATTTTGTCCGTAAAGTAGACCTACCGTGTGTTTGCTACAATACCTGAATTCTGAGAAAAATAATATAGGCCTATAGACCAACACAGACAAACGAACCCACACAAAGAGGAACACATAAGAAAGACGCTGGCATTCCCTTAAAATTAAGAACAAATTAAGAAAGCAGACGTAAAATTTCAAATAAGGTTTTGAATAAAAAAAAAAAACTAGAAAAACTAATAAATCTTATCTGTACTTTATGTGCAGTAAGCGTGGCTATGTAATACCCTCTATAATTCAGTACATTATAATAATGTTGGAGAGGCACGCCCTTCGGCGATAGTATTTTTTACCACTTTCGCCTTTCCGCAGCTCTCCTCTTTATTTTTTTTGTATTTTAATGTTTGTATTGCTGGAAGGAATAAAATAGAAATTAAAAATATATGCTGTACAATAATAATTGTGTATGTGTATAAAATAAGAACAAAATAATATTTTGAGCCTGAAATTGGCAAAAAAAAAAAAAAAAAAAAAAAAAATGAGGGTACCGAGCGCCCTGGGCAACATTTTACTGGTTCTTATAAAAACTAGGTCTGGCCTATATTATTATGTATATATTATTATATAGTTTGTGATTGTAATGTAGCCTAATAACACGTAGGCTATAATGGATATTTGAGTGTCAATGTGTATTTTTGGTGTAGGCCTAATTGACATTTTTCATTCAGGGCGTTTCCTATAAGTAGCATAAACCTCGAGTCTGTGGTCCCGTCCTTTTGAATTTGTTTACTTGTGTTCGATATTTCTGTATTGTGATTTACAGATGCAATAAAATAAATTAGGAAGAACAAATGTTATTGTTAAAATAAACGATTTTTCCCAATCCAGCTTCATATTAGCATATACGCCTACTTTAGGTTTCTCTGAAGAAGGCAGTAGCTTAACGCCTATGCGCTCTCGTGCGTCCGCAGGGCCCCCGACCCTTAGGGTCCTCAATCTAGTACCCCGACCCAAAAGAGCTTTGTTGATACAAGAGAAGTGTCTAAAAAGAGAGAAAAAATATAAATAAAAAAGGCAAATTAATGCGTATTATTGAAAACGGATTTAAGCTACTGTAAAAATACGGTAAATACAGGTTATAATAACGACATCAAAGGTGATAATGATGGTGATGGTGATTATGATGATGAAGAGGATGGGAATGATGATACATTGATCTACCTTAAGATAAACACAATTGATAATGACTTACTGTATAGAAGATATCAGATGATGATGGGGAGGTGGGGATGGTGGTGATTATGATTATGACGATAATGGTAATAATACATTGGTAGTGCTTTAAATCACAAACAAGGTTGGTGCTGTCTCTTATACACATCTAGTCATTTGGTGGGGCTCAGATATAGTATAGATCAGTGGAAGTTCCTCTCCTCCATGCCATCTTCTCTATTTCAAATTCCTGCTATCATATCATTTATTTCGTCGTTAAACACATTTAGAATACGGTACAGTTACAAACATGATTTAAAAACAAACACATCTAAAATCCTACAATAGAAGTGGCGACTGGGACCCAAAATGTGCCCCAAGTATCAGAAAGGCACATGGGCCCCGGCCCCAGCTTTACTTCACAGGGAGAAGGAATGATATTAAGGTTATTTTTTCTTAAGGTCACAGTGCCCCACATTCCCTTACCGATGAATCCGCGTCAGGTGTTGAAATTAGCCCCAAATAACCTGGCATTTACAAGTAGGGTTACAGTACTTTAGGATTGCAATCGAAAGGGTTTACTTCAAAGCTCAGTATACTAAGTGAACACAACTTTAAGACACAAATTATACTCTTTCCTCGCACAAAGGGACCCTTATAGGGGAGAAGAAAGTCATTGATCGAGTTCCTAGTCCACATATCCAAGCGCTTTGTATCCATTGGCAAAAAGCGCTATATAAATTTCTAGAAGATTTAGATTTTAAATTGTTTGGATGTATTCGATATATGTATGCCATAAATTATAATAAACGATTACTATTAATGAAAATTGAACTAGGCCTATTTTAAACTACGCCCTGGGAAGAAAAATGATGTTTCAAAGACCGTCTTAAATTTTTATGATTAATAATAATATTATGTTAAGAAAAGTCGTGAAGTTGCATTAAGGAGCAGTGTGATTTCGAAATTATTATTGAACGAGTCTGGTAACAAATCATCTATTCCGAGCAGTATGGCACAAAGAAATTGCTGATGTAATCACCAATACAAACATCTTGTAATATGCACAGGAATGCCCCATTTACACTATAAATTCTTTCTCCATAATAATAATTGATTCAAAAAGCGATCTTAAGTGGGTAGATTTCAGTGCCGGTACATTCAATCCGTCGCGCACGCTACTGATTGAGATTAATTTTTTTTTTTGCATTAAGTTCTAGTTTTCGCTTTTTTTTTTTCAAGTTAGTAGCGATGTCAGATTCATTTTCCCCCCAAAACCGTTAAAGATAAGCTAAGCCTTACCACATCAATAATTTGAGAAACAGATATCCCAATTTTTACAATAATTGGCTGTGTGAAATTCTCTGCTGGTCGGACGAACTTGACGTATTTGGAGAGAAGGTGATTATGAAGTTCTTCTTCATCAACCGATCCAAGAGAAGTGTCTAAAAAGAGAGAAAAAATATAAATAAAAAAGGCAAATTAATGCGTATTATTGAAAACGGATTTAAGCTACTGTAAAAATACGGTAAATACAGGTTATAATAACGACATCAAAGGTGATAATGATGGTGATGGTGATTATGATGATGAAGAGGATGGGAATGATGATACATTGATCTACCTTAAGATAAACACAATTGATAATGACTTACTGTATAGAAGATATCAGATGATGATGGGGAGGTGGGGATGGTGGTGATTATGATTATGACGATAATGGTAATAATACATTGGTAGTGCTTTAAATCACAAACAAGGTTGGTGTTGGCTTAAACCACTTAAACATGTTCTAATGTTATCATCATGAATTCCAGTGTCGGATGATCCAGGAATTCGAAATAAGGGTGGGCGCGGGGGTTGTGGGGATTTCCACAATTCGAGAGTCTAAACTGCTTCAACCCCATCATTATGCCACATATAGATGGCCGGCAATGGCACCCTCAGATTAATTTTTTTTTTCTCCTCAATTTCTTAAAATTCTTAAAATAATTTCCCCCTCGAATCCACCACTGACTTCACTTTGATAACATTTAATAACGATAATACAAATATTTAGTTTTTATAACTAAATCTGAACACCTTTTCTTGAATTTTTAGGTGGGAGAGGTAAATGCTGACTTGAGTAGGCCTACTAACAAGATAATAACTATACCATGGCCATTGTGGCTATGCCTGTATCAATTTATCATTGTACAGATAATATATCATATTTTATTACCGGTACATTTGATTTTCAGTCACTCAGTATCGGAGTATAGTAAAAAAATGCAAATATTATGAATATGGAGGTTTGTCTGGAAGATTCTTGCTTGCTTGCTACAGTGCGGGAGGCCATCCCGAATTCCGGGAGACTCCCGCGACTTCTGGACACTTGGTGGGACCTCTGAGCCTATCATAACTTGAGTCTTCTGTCATTGACCTCATTAAGCACGTATAGGTAAATATATAGCAATAATATTTTGTCTTTATTTGTACACCAAACCAGCAACAACTCGCATCAAGGTAATTGATGCTAATAATAAATTAAAAATAGACATATCACTTGCTAAGTTTCATAATTTGTATTTACAACTGGGGTATCATCAAGGAAAATTTACTTCATCTTGTTTTCGTTGCATCTAATTAGGCCTAACAATATTTTTACAATAAATATGCATTGAATTTAGCCATCATCAAGGCGGCCATAGCTTTCATGATTGCTCAGCAATGGGCCTTTGTGGTTGTTAGACGCGCGCGTATTCATTACCCTGTTCTGATTGGTCAGTTTTTAGTTCATATTTAGTGATACATATCACATTTTTTGTCACATAAAATTTGACAGAGCGGACAGAGGTTTCAAGTTCAAGTTCAAGTTGTCTTTATTGTCACGTTATAATGTTTACAGGAAATTCTTTTTCCAAGGTTCAAAACATATATTAACAGACTTAGATATAAAAAATAGTTAAAAGATGTTAAAATACAAGATACGTACAATTGATTAGTTAATATAAAAAATAATATATATTATAATGTACAGAACAAAAACATATAATCTTACTTAAATACACTTTTTAATTGCAACTATCTCTTATGGCTTGCATTAATTAGTCGGATTGCAGAAGGGAGAAATGAGTTATGACGAGAAGTTTTCTTTAATGAGGGAATAATGCAACCTGATTTACTGAAGTTAATATATTTACTTAAAGGGCGTGATGATGACATAATTATTGTAGAAAAATTGAATCCTGACACGATGGCGTGCATTTCGATACTTGGGAGTATGTAGGCCTATTATACTATCTTAAAGGGTGTGTGTTTTCATCTAATATACATTAAAATTTCCTGTTTATGATGTCAGAATAGTTATTTTCCATTTCTGGAAAACTTGATTATTTTATGTAATTTACTCTCATTTTTCTTTGTTAGGCTATTATACCATATAACACAACAATGACATACTGGACTAAATCACGTCCTACCGTACTCGACACCTTTAATAATGTTGTACACGTCATATAAAGGCTAGTACGACTTAACATTTTAATCATTTAAAATATATACTGACAATTTTAGCGAGCTGCAGTAGTAATGTTGATGGTAATAAAAGACGAGGATAATATACTGCAATAAAAAGCAATACGCCTACTCTACAGAAGTTGACAATGACATAGTAACAGGCATATTATTAATAGTAGGGATATTTCGCAACATTACGAAAACGAATACAAATACGTCATCTTCATTATCGTCATCCCATACATGCCAAGTTCGACTAATTTGCAGGCGTGAGACTTCTGTTCGGGGCATCCCCCCTAAGAATGTTTTCCCTAGATACCCGGAAATGCATTCTTTGCTACTTTAGGGTTTTTACAACTGGAAATCTGTTAGGAATCCGCATTTTTTTCTTGACGATCGACCTATCGCACTGACATGAGCCGCACGCATGGGGGCCGGCAGTGTGTTCTTTGATCCTGTTAATGCAGCTAGTTTTATCTGATCTGATCTGATCTCATCGAAACATTAGAAAGAGAAATATTAAATTTTTTTTATCAATTTATCAACTAAAAGGAATGAGATACCATAAAAAGAAATTATATGATAATACTGTAATAATGAAAGAGACATTAGAAAACAAAAATATTATCCCTAAACATTTTTAGTTGAGCCGTGCTCTTTGTTGAAGATCATGATGTCAATGCCGTTTTAACATTTTTGAAGACAGGTCAAACAAATGTGCTGGTTCGTTTGTTGTTGCCAACTGATTGTAGGATTTTCTGAGAAATTTGTATCAAGACATGATTTACTCTGCCAGAACTGTAACACGTGGAACGTGCCCCACCCGCGATATTATAGACAGCTCCATTTGATTGGATGAGAGTGTTAATTAAAATAGAAAGCCAACCCAACTTCACCCTGGTGTAGTGCGCCATTTGTTTGTGTTCGAATGTATAATAACAAAACCAATCATATTGTAAGTACATTAGATGATGAATATTTAGCGAGAGAGCATAAAATCATACATATAGGCAATATTACATTTATGCGTGAGATTTTGGTCCTTAAGTGTGAGAGCGTGAGCCAGACCTCGAATGCGTGAGTCTACCGGCGAATGCGTGAGTCATCCGTGGCGTAAAACATTATTAACAATACATAACAGCTAAATATTATCGCTGATTCATTTAAGTAATGAATAGCCTACGTTGTGACAGCAAATCCCCCTCTTTTCTGGCTAAACACCCCCTCAAATTTCCCGAAAGAGTCCTCAAATCCAACTAATGCACTGTAGAGCCACCCAGACGGATTTTTGCTGCAAACATTTTCAAACATAATTGCTTTTATAGCATTATTTAGACCCATAAAACACAAAAATCTTCTGTTTTCGGGGGTTTTGCTGACCCAACAGAGGCTTCGCCCCTGGACCCTACGCCCACAGAACCCCTCCCCCTTTTGAAGAACCTGGCTAAGGGCCTAGGGCCTGTAGGATACGAACATGATATCTCATACCACAGCGACAGGCTGGCTTAGGCTTAGAGCATTTGCTATTTATGTTGAAGTCTCATTGTGTGGCTTAGAGGGTGAAATGTTCTTTAGTAAAGCTAAATCCCAATCGTATCGTAGATAATATAATATTATATAATATAATATATGCATCCCATTCTTTTAAACTATAAATGGGAAGCGATTGGAACAACATTCATAGTTTAGAACCATATCATATGCATAAAGTAAATATGATAAAAGTAGGCCTAATCCAGACTCCCGAGATACACAGT